ATTTTAAATTAGGGGACTTATATAGGGCTAACCTCAATGTCTTCCTTTTCAAAATATGTAATCTGCATTTTTAGAATAAAGTATTATTATGGCTGGTTTTTTTTAACTAAAATAATATATGATGTGAGTGTCCACACTCTAGATGTATGGACATTCATTCATAATGAATTGGATAGAAATATTGTTTATTTGGAAGGAATATAATTTCATGTTTGACTAAACATTTTGAGATTGAGGAGTGAGTTTGACCAAAACAGTCATGTTAGTTGAAAGGAAATGAGGACAATTCTGTACCCAATTTACAGGCTTCTCCTGATTGATGTTTATTGTCTTTTTCCTCATTTATTGATAATTTGATAATCTCAAATAGAGAATCCCTTTATGATTGGGATGAAATATACCTACCGACACCCTACCAACAACCTACCATCACCCTACCAACACCCTACCAACATCCTACTGACAATCTATCAAGACCTACCCACAACCTACTGTCTCACTAAAACCTATTGCTAAGATATGTATTGTTAACTAACACGCTGACAACACTTTTAGGTCACATTCATAACCATGATAATACCAACATATTTATAATTGCTATTTCAGTTCATAAACTATATAATATTTTCCACAGATATTCTGGTTGGTGCCTATGAATCAGACAGCGTATTTCTGTTAAGGTAAGTAGTTCTCAGCACAGTAGTTCTCCTCTCCCATCTCTGTGGGTTTTGGTCTCAGCTGCAGCATGTATACCTATACTGATTTTAGCTGCCTTCCCAATTTCCCCCCCAGACTTTCAAGACTTTCAAGTAGTATTTTCCTCTCTTTTTTCAAACCAATCGGAACTAATTCAGACTGGTAAGAGTTTGACACTGGGAGACATGACAGTGAATGATGTTATGGCTGCAGTCAAAGAAACACTCAAATTCTTTCAGTTTGGACCTTGTGATTGACCTTGGATTACCTGTATTTAGAGTGGTGGCTAGAAATGAAATAACAGGCTTATGACTACTTGAGTGGCTTTGTACCATCATGTGATGGCAACCATAATAGGAGACAGAACAATTGAATCTGGTTTACATCAGAAAGAATAGGGAGGGTACATTTTTTATTTGGGGTAGGGCTGGGGAATTGGTAGTAAATGTTTTTTAAATGGTCATATGTGACCCTTTCAATTTTATTCAGTAAGAAATTCATGACCCATAATTATGCAATTTAGACAACTAGCTATAATTTAAGTCATCTGGGTCCGTCAATCAACTTTCCGACTGTCTGAGTTACTAATTTTTTTTGATCAACACAAAAACCCTGACAGTTTGGGATGAGTTGGTCAAGTAATGCTGAAAATGAGTGTAGCATATTCTTAATTAATAGTTTGTAATTGTTTGTTTTTTGACAGATCCAGGCCTATAATTGACATGCAAGCAAATATTGCAATTACTCCAAATCCATTTGACATTAGGACCAAAACCTGTCCAGTATYGTATAAAGGAAAAACTATCAATACAGCATGGTATGTTGAATGACATCTTTAACTGTCAAGGAATATTTGACCAAATACATGGTTTCCATATTTCTGTAGTCCAAGGCATTAGTAAGTTAGACTTTTTCAATTCATTATCATGTGGCATTCTGGATGATTATAGTTGCACATTAATTGGTAACACATTTGCAGTATCTACAATACACATACACCATGAAGATATGATGAGATACCATATTTACCTGTATAAGGGCTGTAGGGCTTATTAAATTTTTGGGTTTCGTATGCAAATTTAATTGTAGTTGAATAGGCCATCCCCCCATAGAAGACCTCTCTTACTTACCTATATGGAACTTTCTCATCTCCCCTCTAGCTATTAAACTATCCTATCCCTTCTTCCTTTTTTTTTTTTAGTATGGCAATTCAAATATGCTTAAGTTACAAGGAAAGGAAAAACAAACTTAAAGATAAGTTAAGTAAGTATCATTTCACCATCAAGGGGCCTTCCATAGAGCAAACTCCGTGTAATGGTGGATAACTCATGAACTACATGAATGTTGTTATGTGATTGTAGGCCTATTGTGTTCAAGCATGTTCATTGAATGAAGGAGTTATCTCCTCTGCTCTGACTACTTCAATAGATACCTTTGATTGCATACATACCATGATTTTGCAGTATGTCATGCTGATGGTCAACATTATCATATGAAGTCTACTTTTTTTAAATCTATAGTGACATCTCATGAGTGTCTGAATTCAATGCATTTTCTTCTAGGCATAGACTTAACTGTTGAGTCAGATGTTGAATATGTCCATCAATCCAGGACAAAAAAAGAGGCTCGTATAATGTTTATAGCAACAGGAGGTCCTATCTATAACAAGACTTTAACAAACCTGCCTGTTGATCCAACCAAGGAATGCTTTGTTGAAAACGTTTTCTTGAGGGTAAATACCAAGCCATTTATTTAAAAAATATATCGTAGTTGTGATAATATAGGAAACAGATCTAGAATCAAGTAACATGTTGTCCTAATACATGTATGTATGGTATATATAGAAATATGTGTGTGTATATATATATATATATATGTTGTATTGGTAGATAAAAATAAGAGATGTAGGCTACACACCTCCAGTTTGTATATCGTATACAACACAGCTGCTCATATTGTATAAATTATTTTAGTATATACCAACAGCACTTGTGTACTTACTAAGAACGCGCACGCTCATTGGTTAATCGGAGGTGAATATTGTACAATATTCACCTCTGAATCTCAGAATATTGAGTCATGAAACAAAATGGCATCTGCTGGCAATTGTTTTGCTACAATTTCCGATGAGGACTGAGGAATAATTATGTTATTTGGTTTTTGTTTTTTTCCATTTTTGTAGGAGAATGTAGAAGATGTGTATCCTGATATAACATTCAAAATAAATTTCCTAATGCATGAACCCAAGACTCCACCCACAGCCGCCCCTGATAAAATGCCGTCCTTGGCTGGATATGCAATGTTGGAGGAGAAACATAAGAATTTTGTGACAGCAGTGGTGAGTACGGCTAGTGTAATGTTTGGTTATAATGAAATGTGACCAGGCTAATCCAAACATTTTACAGCTGGGTATTGTATTGTACTGTGAAAACTAATCTTGTAACTATCCCCATGAGAGTTAAATGACAAAGAAATGGCATCCATGTTGGAGGTATTAACAATGGAAGCTAATGAGAAATCTATACTGTAGGCAGTAGCTAAATACCAACATGGCTGACATGACACATATATGCAAAGCAATCTGAATTCAAAAAAATTAAGTATTTGAAATGAAAATTTTCATTTGCACAATCTATCTTTGTCATTAATTCTTGTAGTATCCTACCTAAACAAATGATAATAATTATCAATTCTTTAATTCTACTAAATAAATAAAATTTGGTTTTTTTTAGCTGAAGTTTAAGAGAGATTGTGTCAAGTGTGAACCAAACTTAAATCTGGCTAGTGCAAGTAAAAAGTGAGTTTATGATGATTATGATGATTATGATTCATATAGCGCCCTTATGTGGATATAATCAAAGGCACTTTACATGGAGTTGTGAATGACAGATTGCTTTTTGTGCAATTTACGAGCATGAGAGATGGTTAGTATGAAGTGGAGGCACTGAGGGTGGTCACTGCCAGGGTTTCGTTTTACGTCCTCAGTGGTTCTTTTATGTCCCCCATTTACTGCAGGTTAGGAAGGGTTGGGAGACAGGGCCTACGGTTTAAAGTCCTTATCCGAGAAGACTTGAAGGTCTAACCATTTGCAGATATAATTACAAAGGCAGCACCTTCTCCTCAGTTATTTTAAGACCCTGAGTGTTGGTCCAGCCGAGGCTTGAACCACGACCCCCACAACAGACCGACGCTCTCACCAACTGAGCTAACCGGGTGGTGGTTATATTAGAATATTAATTATTACCTCTCTGAATTTGATTTACAAATCCTGATTAACCTCTTGAACAGCATCCTTTCTTCCCCTTTTTACTATTACTTACTGTTCTGTTTTCTTTCCTCCCACCCCCCATCCACCACACTTATCTTTCAGTGATTGAAGGACTGATCAGTGTAAAATATAAAATCTAATGAATATTTAATTCAAGTCCTGTAGACAAATGGATAAGGTTGGGGCAGGGATGTGGGGATAAAATTAAAAGCTATATACTTGAAACTGTTCTCCCATGACCCTACTCTAGATACAATAATAATAATGATGATGATGATAAGTACAATAATATAATAATAATAATATAATGCAATGTTATTTTATGAGAGTAACACATTATAGTTCTTAAGCATAACTTTAACAATCTGGTTATTTGATCTAGGACTCTTGCAGTAGGAGCACAAGACTACCAACTAAATGTAACGATTTCCAATTCTGGTGAATCAGCTTATAACACAGAACTATTGATAACTGTTCCTGAAGGAGTCACTCAGAGTGCAGTCTATGATGCTAGTGAAAAACAAAAGGTACAGTATTATATATTAAACCTGAAATTAATATGAGCACTGTACTTCTCTCGATGCCACACAGGAACCCTGAGTTTAAGAGAGAACCAATTTAAGTAATTAAATATTGTCCAGCATTTGTTAATGTAATGTCTTTCCTAAATAATATGCAGCCATATTGTCATTGAATGGAACAATTGTGACCACTGAACTGTCAGTGTGACATTGCAAAAGTTATTCTACAATTCAACTAATTTTTAAGCCCAAGGGTAAAAAAATTTACTGGCACTCTGAAATTGTCTTTTTTCAATGATTTTTATCCTAATCAATAGCATTTAATATTTTGTTTCAGGATCGCTTTACAATCAGTCACCTTGTTACCTCTGAAATACTTAGTGATAACAGTTCAAAGCTTGTCATACCTGTTGCCAACCCTCTTAAGAATTCTGTGACGGTACGTTTACTTGTCCATTTCGTCCTTGAGCTCCCTTCTCCATGCACTTGTTTAATTTCCATTCTACCTTCTCTTCTTCCCCTCTCCCTCTTACTCCTTCCTTTTCATCTCCTCCCTTTTCCTTTACCCATCTCTTCCCACTTTTCTCTCTTCCCTTCCCTCTTCCTCTTTATTCCACTTCTTGCTATTTTCTCAATTGTAGTAACTGTATCTTTACCTTTCAAGAGCAAAAAGTGTTTTGGTTTCATACCTCAGTAGTGTAACAAGCCATTAATTTATGTCATCACCTTATTACAGAAAAGATTCCAAGTTCTACTTAATACTGCAAGCTTCAGCAAATCACAAGATTTCTTAGCTATAGATTTAGAAGTAATGAGGTAATTACTAAAATATGACATTTTGAGATTTTAACCGTTTAATTATTTGATAAGCAGTATTTGATAAGCATTATTGGTGTTTGCTACTAGTGCTGCCACTCACTGCTACAAGACTGCCAATCCCTGAAGTCTTGATAGTTCAAATCTGGAGAAATTATTTGAATAGGGCTACCTGCGCAATATGATCGATGATTGCAAAAAGTGCATGAAAAAGATTTCAAATCATTTTAACATTTAAAAATTTGGTGTTTTATATTCACCTGAAATTTAGACCAGCAAATTAATTAGCAATTATTTGCCAAAGGGAAAATCGGGGAATATTTACTGAGACATGAGTCTTCAAGCGACGAGGTAAATATTCTCCATATTCACTGAGCCTGAGGCGAATAATTGTTTTAGCATATACCAACTTGTGTACAGAGTGACTTATTTTTATATACAAAAATTGAATAAAAACAAACAAACAGAAACTTTTAGTTTGCGTTACAAATTCACCCAAAACTTTTAGCAAAACTTTAGGCCATACTTTGTTGCCTTTTTAGTATTGATAGGAATGGCATTTACTTTCATTTTTTCAATTTTCTCATCGGAAATTGTAGCAAAACGATTGTCGGCAGATGCCATTTTGTTGCTGACTCAATATTCAGAGGTGAATATCGTACAATATTCACCTCCAATTAACCAATTAATCATATTTTGCAGCTCCAACAAAGAACCTGATAAGCACATGGCTGATAACAAGATACATTTAAATATTACTATTGTATCACGAGCTGACTTGGAACTATCTGGGTAAGTAACTCATTAGCTAATAGCATCAAAGATAAACGACAGCTTTGGTGATTTTGAATGAACAAAAACTAGGCCTTTAGTGAGAATAATAATAATTATTTTTGAAGTTTTCAAACTCATTAGAGAATAATAAATATGAAAGACGGTTTTGATGATTTTGAATATTAAACAAATACTAAGCCTTAAGTTAGAATAACTTTTGATACTCACTGTTTATGAAGTTTTATCATAATGTGTGCCATCATTGGGCTAGCGTCTTCCCCAAAAGTTCCCATAATGCACTGCCTCATGAATTTAATAAATATGGTAGGTAGGCTTTAAGGCTGTTTATTGTGTATTGTTCTATGCACAGAACTCTCAATGAGAACCCAGAGAAAAATCCTTGTAAGAAGGGAAAGAACAACACATGAAACAAACACAACTCACATGCTAGATCAGATGGACTCAATCATTGTCACAAGCCCTATGATGGTGGGATGACAATGCAGTATAGAGCACCTATAATACCATGTAACATTAATCCTAATAAAGGCTACTGTACAACTGATGTATAACAACCAATGCACTAGCTTTTTATACCTGTGATACATACAATTGTCATGCATTGATCAACTAATCCTTCCTCTGCTCATGATAACAGATCAACCAGGCAAGAACAGATTTACTATGGTGGAGAAGTAGTTGGTGAAAGTGCAATGGTTACTGAAGAGGATATTGGCAATGAAGTCAGGCACACATATATTGTAAGTATAGGATGCTACTGTACCCCATTTTCACATCTTATTTAATTTGTAATTAAGGCAGGGATTGATGAAAAGTCATCATAGCATAGGCCCCCCTCCCCCCCAAGTCCCGGTTAAATTGCTGTTAGTGTCTGGTTTTGAAGGTAACCTRTTTAGCATGGGTGACCCTACCATGGTCAGTAGACTGTGTTCTCACTATCATAAATTTTAGGTCTGGGAAACACCGAGACCATCCCCATGCTGTAGCCATTTCTGTAGCTACACGCTGTGTCATACAAAAACTGGTTCCAAAGACACACAATGCTATAGTGCAGCATTAATGCATTCATGAATAATGCTATATTAACTACTGATTAATGACTTTTTATTTGTTTGTTTATAATTATACTAAAGTTCACTCCCTTTCAATACGATAAGTAATAATGTGTATACTCGTTTCTGGTCCAGTATATGTATCCTAAAAAATCTAGTGCATTCTAATTCACTGCACAAGTCTGTGGTATTTTTTACCTCTGTTTATGGTCCAATAACCTGTGCTACAACCACCTGTGCTCACATGGAATAACAGATTGTTAAACAACAAACAGATATAGATGATTTCCAAGATGCAGGAGTGCTTGCTCTTGCTTGTGTTTGCTCTTAAAATCTTGCCCAAAAATACCTCGTTTTCTATTCTGAGCACCTGATACTAATTCCAAAGCACTCACACATCTTAGTAAAGATCTATTGCAAAACAAATCAAAAAGGAAAAGTCCTCTACCTAAAGTTGGTCTGGACAGGCAAAGTGTTTCCCTATCCATGCAGACCTCCTGGCTGTGGTAAATAACCTCTATATCATTCTATGGTTTTTCTATGCTTAACAGGTACAAAACCTAGGACCAGATCTTGTGCCTGAAGCAGAAATAGTAATCAATTGGCCTTATGAAGCACCAAGTGGAAAACACTTGCTGTACCTCATGGAAGTCATGGTAACTAAGACATGCATTATATAAATTATTGCAATATATATTATAATAATATGTATATCCCAGTAAATACATAATGTAAAAGGTTTATCTGCCATTTTTATCCTGGCAAATAGAAGGTGACTGAGATTAAACTTTGTGATTGACAGGTTGGTGGAAGAGGAGAGTGTGAATTCTTGCCGAATCAGATTAATTTACTTAACCTCTTGGTAAGTACAGATTGTTTGGTAATCAATACTACAAAACATGATACAGCAACAAAGAAAGCATCAATTTTACTTCAAAACAACCTGATCTGATCAAGCGGTTCGATCAAGCTGATCCAAGTGAGATCACTGACTCACACATCAAATGGGAATTTAGCATTTTGAGTTTTCTCAAGTTTTCATCCCTCTACAAAACCCAGTTAAATGCCTCTCATGAACATTTGATGCTGAGTCCAGGAATCAAACCTGAGACCCCAGAGTTGAGAAGTGACTGTATTTATTATATCCTTGTTTAGTGTTATAGTGGGCATATGGGCCTTATGGCCCAAGAGTGACTTTACCTTATAGTGAGTGAGTTGTATCTAAATAGTCTTACAGTGCGACTACTCCAACCAAAGCCACCTCGACAAATTTTCCACAAATTAGCCAATCAAAAGTAGGAATCTGAACAATAGAATTGCTACAAATCGGACAAATTTCCATGGGTTTACACAGTTGAGAAGACTGCCGGCACCTTTGTTGTCAAATATAAACGTGCTGTCGCATAGCAACATAGTGATAAGATCTAACAGTGTCAGCCTGATAATATCTTTGTCTGGAAGAAACAAACTGTAATCATAAAGACTGTGTTTTATACGGTCTCTAATTTACTTTCCTGTCGTATTTGAAGTCGTACATTACTATCTTTCTATATCTTTGGTGACACAAATCACTAATTCGTGAAGAAAATATATTACAAGCTCTTCTTCATGATTTAGTTTTACCAACCGGAACAACGGAAGGATATTTAAATTCAAAATTTGGAGCTAATCTATTGTCTAAATACTCAAACACTATTGGATAATTTGTGGAAAATTTGTCGAGGTGGCTTTGGTTGGGGTAGTCGCACTGTAAAACCATGGTAGATTTCTAATGAAAGTAGATAAACAAAGTTTAAATGAATCAGGTGTCTGATAAATACTGTATGTAAAACTGGTTCAAATATTTTTATTTGATCTTTAATAGAAAAAAGCAAAATCCCAAGCATCCAGAAATGCAACAGCTAGAGATATTTCAATACGAAAAAGAAGAGATGCTCAACCAGAACCAGAAAAGAAAGAATCAAAAGAAAAACGAGAAACGGCTGAGAAAGCTAAAGGACCAAAAGGAGTTGTTCTGGTAAGTTTATTTTTGTTCTTTAAGTTAGCATAAACATCTGGCTTTATTTCTTAGCATAACAGAGGTAGCCTTACTCAGTTTCTATACATTCCGTTTAGAAATGACAGACATAATAACACATTGCCAAAATGAACATAGTATCAGGCTATAGTACTATGTTTTGAAGTGGTTTCCACTAAGCATATATTTTCAGAAAACTTGCCTGCCTATGGATAACACTCTTACTTTGTTATTGAGAGCCTTGATTATTCTTGTCAATAGAGGATTCGTATGATCACATGCCAACCATCATGCCGCCAACGTACCATCATGTCCCTCTCCTTCTAGCCCACAACCATCATGTCCCTCTCCATCTAGCCCCCAACCAACATGTCCCCTCTCCATCTAGCCCACAACCATCATGTCCCCTCTCCATCTAGCCCCCAACCATCATGCCCCTCTCCATCTAGCCCCTCTCCATCTAGCCCCTCTCAATCTGGCCCCTTGCCATCTAGCCCCTCGCCATCTAGCCCCTCGCCATCTAGCCCCTCGCCATCTAGCCCCTTGCCATCTAGCCCCTCTTCATCTAGCCCTCAACCATCATGCCCCTCTCCATCTAGCCCCCAACCATCATGCCTCCTCTCTATAGATGGGGAGGGGGCAAGATGACCAGTTATTGACTGCACAAAATCTCTACACTCAAGTCAATGGGAGTTGTTCAGAATAACTAATAATCAAGAGCTTGTTTTCCTACAGGACTGTAATAATACTCCCTGTACTCCAATTAAATGCACCATGAAAAGACTGACCAAAGGTGATGCAGTATCTTTTGTCTTGAGGGCAAGAATATGGAATGGAACTCTTCTTGAGGTAAATGAAGTGTCAGTCTATTAATCCCCCTTTTTAGATTAAAAAAATGATTAACTGTTGCCAATGGTTAATGTTTTGACTGTTAACAATGAAAATCATGGGGGTATTGTTTTGGTATCTAATTCATTGGTTCATACTCCAGAAATAGGTTCAACTTGGGGTACACCGCTAATCCCCCAATGGTATGACTCATCTGGTAAAATCACTGGTGTAGCCATTACATGCCAATAGATGATGTTCATGCAGTGACAATGATATCTTGCAAACTAAAGCAATGTATACCTAAATATCTATTTTCTGATTGGAACAGGACTACTATGGCAAAGAAGTGGAAGTTGTTTCCAGTGCGACTGTCAAAACATCTGTTTCTTTTGTAAGAGAAGTTGATGAAAACAACAACAAGGCTGAGGTAGGTTGAAAAATTATTTTATATTATTGTTCACATGCGTGTATAAGAGGAGAGGGAATGCACATGTCATGATGAGAAAGTTTCTGCCAAATCCACACACTGTTCTTTTCTTTTATTCTGACATAATATAATATCTAGAATTTCTCTCACATTTTTGACCGTTTTCATCTCACACATACTTTTCACTCTCTGCTTTCTGTTTTCCTAGGTTTTTCACTAACACATCATAAAAGGCTTTGCACCATTGTGATGACAGCCATGACAGGAGGCAGGAACATTATTGAATCTGGTCTAATCTGATTTACGTGAGAAAGAATTCAGTTTCTCAAGGGAAAAAAGACTATCGTTGTGCCTCCTGTCATGGCTGCCATCACATGATGGTGCAGAGCAGGCCTCTATAAGTCAGAGTCTCTTATACTGGTATTAGGATAAAGTAAGTAATAATGATGACATTTCTTTGTTTCAGATCCGTACCCTGTTTTTCCCAGACTTTCCTCCACCTCCTTCCAAAAAACTAGCTTCATGGGTCATTCCAGTAGCTGTGGTTGGTGCAGTACTAGCACTTCTTATCATCATTCTCATCCTTTGGAAGGTAAGTATCACTGCAGACAATCTAAAATCAATAGCCATCTGCTTCAATATTTTTGCTAAGGAAAAATGTTCCTTGGTACGTGATTTGCTGAGACAGACATGGTGCATATTTGTTGTTTACCATTGGCACGAACAACTTTTAACTATAAGCAACATTTATCATGCCTTATATACACCTATTTAAAAAATTCTGGTGTCCAGAATTGCTGAATTGCTTGGGTATTGCTAAAGTGGAATTTGTGTGGGATTTTTTTGGGGGGGGGGGGGGAGTTGGATGGAATTGTTAGGCTGGATGTCTAGGACAGAAGGATACTTCTTGTGATGGTTGCCTGTCATGAGCACCCAATTCTATATCTAAAGCTGTGCTTTGTTTTTAGCTGGGATTCTTCAAGCGAAAAAGGTTTGATGGAAACTTGACAGAAGCAGAGGGAGAGGCCATGTTAGATTCCAAGCAAGAAAAGAAGCCTTTTGATCATTAACTATTTGGACCATAGGAATCATTGGTGGCCTTGCTTGCCTCTCTCAATACGAATTATAGACACCAGAATAGAATGGAGGTATTCTAGTTCAAAGATGTTTTTCACAAGTATGTCTTATGAAAAAGAGCATTTTATCCAAGATGAATAAGACATCGATGACTGAGTGTTGTATGGAAATGACATTTGGACAGAAAAATACATATACATATCCATATGAACACAATACAACAGTATCATTTCAAGACTGTAGGCTGTAAAGAATTCTGTCAAGACAGTTATATTAAATTTTTATTGCATTATGGTTTGACATATAATTATTTTAAATACAGGATTAGCTAAAGTTCATGGTGTTCAGCCATACATGTATGGCCAGTTTTTAGGCTTTAGGTAAGCTGTAAATAGCTGGGACTTCAAAACTAGCTTCAAAGTCATCATTCATTTTCATGTGCCAGTATTCCAGTGCCATGGGTCAGATTTTTTGACTTCAACAAACAAGATGCATTGTGGTCCAGCTTGAGTACAACAACACTATATAAGCAATATTTGTACACTTAGACTGCAATGCACCATGTTTGCTCTCAGAAAACATCTATGTTTATTGTTACGTTTAATTTCAGACCAATTTGTCGCCACTTCTTCATGAAACAGTTTTTAACCAGTTTGAATTCATGCAGCTTGCAATCTTAAGATTGAATTTTGTCCCTGTTTCATGTTACTGTGAGGTGTGGTGTAGTGTAGTGTGATGGTATATAACTGTGTGTAGGTCAAGTGAACACACATTAAGCAGAATTAGTAATTTATAACATTTGTCAAAGTTTTACCTTCCTCAAAGAAACTAGTTTCAAGCTTTATAGTCAGTAATAGCAGATCATAATCTCCCCTACAAGATGTAAAAATGACTTGATATGTTAACTAGAAAACATTTTGACATAAATAGCAGGGGTAGTTATAAAGTGTTTTAATAAATGTACATAATGTGCCAATACATTACAATCTATAGTTAGGTACATTAATTTTTTTGGATTGTTGGAATGTTATTTACAAATTGATTCATCAAAGTTCAAGTTTCTGTTGCAGCCCTAATTTTGCCCAGGACACAGAAACTTTAATTATTCCTTTCTGAAAATTTAAAAAAAAATCTTAATAAATGATACTTTAAGTAACAAAGATGAACAAAGAATCATTGTGTACTTCCAAGAACATTTCCAAAACTTGTTTAGCAAAATAAACTGTAAATCTAGAAAAATCTAGATCTATGCAAGAAAAATATTTTCAAGTCTCGCAAACTGGTATTCAACCTAGTTTGATAGTATTTAGTTATTTTTTTATTTTAATAAAAATTTTGAAATTCTCATATACAATATAATGGTATGTTGTACTGCATGCAGAGTACATGTAATTTTTTGGTTTCAAATATAGTTCAAGTTTGCCAATTGTTTTATTTTTTTATGCTCGTTGTTGAATCCATGGCCAAGAACCCAACTTTTTGTTCCAGTTTCATTGATTTCTGCTATTGGGTTATCATTGTGTTAGCCTCTCTTTTCTCATTTCTTGACTACAGTGTCATTTATACAGGTTTAGTTTTAGCGTTTAAGACCAAATCATTTTTCAAAAGTCATAGAGTGGTTTTCAACAACCCGTGAAACAAAAGTTACTTATTARATRGTAAWAGCCAGATTCAAACAATAGAAAACAAAGGAGTTAGAGCGTAATAGTACTAAAYACGYTAAAATGTATTTCACAKGTTTATGAAAATCACTCCATGTCATGACTATTAGAAAATGTTGGCAGACAGATTTGTGTGGTATGATCGATATGTCAGGTTCTTGGTGGAGAAACCAATGCAAAATAAAAATCTTTTAATGCTATTGTATTTTTATTACTAATCAATTGGCCACTTTAGAAATGAGTTGAGCACTGGTAACGAGTTTTTAGAATTAGCCTAGTTACAAAATAAATGCCACAACAAGAAAGAGTATATCGAAATTAGTAAATCTCTGGAGTTTCAAGATTTTGGGTTTTATACCTTTCATGTAGCAACCTCCCAAGCATCTCAATAATTGGCTACGTTCATAATGTATCTCAGAGGGAAGGGGGGGGGCAGGTGAAAATTTGAAATGTCCAGAATAATTCTTAACACCCAAAAAAAATATGATCCCCCCAGGTAAGCAAGGCTTGTAGCTTCTTCCAAAAATTGTGCATCCCCCCCATTTTTCTGATAAGAATTTGCCCATCCCTCCTCAATTTCACTTGCCCCCCCTCTGCCATACATTATGAACACAGTCTTACAAAGAAATGTATGGTTACTGGGGATGCCGCTTGTCCTTACTAAACATACATTTCATTCTAATTTTTTATGTTTTTGATTGCTTATAATTTAACTGTTTTAAAATCAAAGCCATACTGCAGAAGCCTAGTAATTTTGATGTGCTCTTTTTCATCAGGGGAATCGTTTTCAAATAAGATTAATTATCAACACCTTCTATATACTTGTTCCCAGTCCTTCACTCATTTCTAAAGTGGCCAATACGTTACACATGTTGGTGTACATAACATTAAGATTATTTTTGGTTTATTTTCTTTTATTGTTTTCAATTAAAAGAATTATAATTTATTTAACTACAATTAATATTGTACTTGTTGTTGTTGAATTATTATTTTTCAAAAAGTAAAATAAAGCTATATTATATAAAACAATTTTGAGTCAAGTTTCTTACATGCCCTGGCCCATAAATGCAATTTTTCAATTAACAAATATTTGATTTTCTAAGTTTTTTGCTATTTTCGACATTACATCTTCTCGTCTTCCATTTTCCCCACTAACGCAGTCTTGAAGAAGTTGATTTAATTTCACTCTTAGCTTTTTTCCTGGAGCAGAGTGTAGTAGGCCTTGTCGTCCCTTCATGTCTGCCAAAACACCTTGACACAATGCATACAAGTTATGATCTCTACAGATACCATTACAAAGATCACTTGGGCTGTACTGCAAACACTCTGGCTTGTTTGAAGGGCAGTTATCAGGACAAGTTGCTCCTGTAAACAAGTAAAATAAGCAAATACATCATCATCATCACATAATCAATGCATCATCATCAACTCACCAACAGAGGAAAAAGCCTCAATACATTCTGATACTGGTCAGTACAGGAGAATTTTGTATGATTTTACAGCAAATAATTGTATGATTTTGTGCAAAAGATTGAGAAGTGCTGTAAACGAAAAGCCCATACCATTCATTTTCTTTGTCATCTGTCTTCGGTCAGCAACCAAGATATGCTCCATATCAAGCAGTACAACATCACCCTTTTCATTGACACCAAAGTTCTCTGCCAAGGGATCACCCAAGTACAGCACCCAATCCTCAACCTCCCCTGAGCCTAACTTGAGGGCCAGTTTAATGAGATTTAGAGCAATCTTAGCACGCACTGGCCAAGGTTTTTTATCAAGAGACTTTAAGTTCTTGCCTACATTTTCAACAACTATTACTCTTCCGCATGCTCCATAAAATGTAGGAAATGGCCAGCCATCTTTCTTGGGGAAAACCTGTATCAAAAATCATGTGTATGTAAGTGCTTGTTCAGTATTTAACCATTGTCTTACTAGAAACTATCGAAATGATACTAAAGGCCCATGGGGGGGTACTCTTGCTCGTTTAGGGTAGGGATGTGCCACTGAGCCCACTGAACCCTGACCCTGTTCCAGAGTAAAATCGCTGAAATTCATACCCTGTTCCAGAGCAAGATCACTGAAAATCATACCCTGTTCTGGTATTGCGAAAATGGATACCCTGTTCCAGACAGGAGAGAGTGTGATTTCATATACCCTGTCCCAGAGGGAGCGTGATTTTATATACCCTGTTCCAGAGTAGAATCGCTGAAAACCATACCCTTTTTGGTGGCACGTACCCATATAGTGAATATAGGGGAGTATCCCCCCCTGGGACTAAAGGTCATTGATAGTGTTCAGCTGTTTGATAAATTATGCTCAAAGCACAGATTCTTATAAATCTGCTAAGTATACCTGAAGTAATATCACTTCTTGGTTAAGATGTAAAGCTGTACTTAAGTAAAGTTTCTCCTCTCCTGTTAAACCTTTTTCACTTTTGCTATAAGTTCCAATAATTTTTTGCAAAAGTCGGTGAAAAGTACAGTCCATCCCATCATATAACATTCTGTAAAAAGGTTGAAATTGAGGAAAAAATTGTTTCATGTTAATTAATTGGGTTGAGTGGTGTGTGTGTGTGTGTGTGTAGTACTTCTCACTCATCCCCTCCCCTCAACTACTATAAATAATATACGATTTTTAACAAGATCAGTTATGTAGGCTGCATGGAGTGCAGGGGGGAAGGCATAAGTATAACTAAGCAAACATACTTTTTGACAGAAGTCTCGTTAGCTAAGAAAGAACTCCATACATTAGATTTAAGGTCGCAGGAAAGCTTCGAATTCATTCCTGCACTCGTGCAAATATGTCTATCAAATTCAGCTATTTCACTGGTCGAAGCAAGATACTTAACGACCACTTCCATGTTTTTCCATCTCCCATACATAACACCCTTTGTATACTCATTTGTCCAAAACCCATTGGTCTTTACGGTGATTTCACCATCTAAAATACTTTGACATAAAGAGGTATTGACTCCAAAGCAAGCAGGGCATTTTGAAAGTCCAATTTCATCTGCTGTCAAAATATGAGGGACTTGAAACAGCCATTCGACAGCCTTCCAACAAGTTAATCTGAATATAAACGCAGCTACTAAAAAGATGAATAGTACTAGCTTCTTCCTTTGTCTTTTGAATAACAATGGCCGAATAAACTGTAAGAAATTCGGCCTCATAAACACGGCTTAATATTACACAATTTTTCTTCTTCAAAAGACGGTTTTAACCAGGCGTTCTTGCCAAAAGCCAATTTCTGTTCACTAGGGTAGGGTACGGATAGTTTTGTCACCTCTGGAAATAGATCGAATGATTGGTGGTAATAATTCATACGACTGTCGAACCGCGAACCCTTCAGGCTAGAAAATCAAACGAGCATCTTATCTTGGAAGTTGCTCTGATGGCTTCCTCTCCGAATCCTAGTCCTAGTACACTAAATAATACAGAGGATGGAGAAGAAAATAGTGGCGATGAAGACGAGACTGATGAAATGCTCGATCCTCGCGTGAAGGTACTGTAGGACAAATCAGAATGTTGACATTTTCTGATCCCACAGAGACAAAAGCGAGAAAGACTTTTACATAATACGATTTTACACTATCCTTAACAATGTTGAACTGTTTTAACGTTAAAAGGTCGAGCTAGAGAGGCTGAATTCAGCTACCACGAACATTAATGAATTGGAGCAAGAACTAGAGGTGAGACACGCATGCTTTCATGCGCTGTTTTTTTTTTCCAGTACAATTACTAGGAGATTTTTAACGATTAGAAAACGATCAATCCGAAGTTTACTTTAATGTATGAAACCAGAACAAATTAAGTTTTTGGTTATGCAATTCATTTGTAAAATTGAAAGATAAAAATTCTAACAAATTTTCGCACGTAATAAAATTTGGCAAATTTAGCTCAAGATTATGAAGCGTATTTTATCTTGAAATATGCAAATAATTCAAATCATTCCCAAATGTAAATACAGTAAGATTCTAAGGTGAGATGAGGTTATAGAATTATACCTATTCATCTTCTTTTATTAATTCTGTTATTTTGTAGGAAATGCATACTATCTTTAGACAAACGTTGAGTGAGTCAGCCTTTGTGCTGAAGACTCAAGCAAATATGCTTGGCAAGTGTGTGAGGCAGTCAAGACCTTATTATGAAGAACTAGAGATAGCAAAACAGGTAATTCCTTGCCCGGAATATGACACAAAGAGCGGTAAACCATTGAGGAATTTGACTTTCAAAAAATCCCATTTTTCTTTCATCCTTTTTTCACAAACTTTTTACCTTTTAATTCTTCAATATTTTTCTTTTTCAAATTCCTTTTTTTTTCTTAAAGATTATTTTAGTTTTCATGAAGGTATTATGTATTTATTTCCCCCAATATCTTTAGTACAATATTTCTAAAGAGGTCTCTTAACTTTAGGTTGCTTTAAATGCCATCTTTTTATATATTAGACCTATCTGCACTCATTCTGATAATTGCTCAGCCAATCCAACGCATCCTCACCATATCTCATTGGCTCTTGCTTCTATTAATTAACCAAAAACATGTCCATTTGGTCTGTTGGAAATTAGATCAATCATAAGAAGGAAAATCCTTCTACTTGTAAAAGGTCTGTAGCTTTGTTGTTCACATAAAAAATGAGCTTTACATTATCAAATAGACTGTTAACAGCACCCCCCCCCCCCCCAATAGTTGTTAACAGTCTAGTTATAGAAGTATGGGCATGTAGTGGACTTGCTGGCACCTTAATTGAGTAAAAAAACTTGAATTTGCCCTGCCTTTAAATTGCTCTAGAACATTTCTCTAATTCCACCACTTTCATCAAATAGTTGTTCTTTTTATTAACATAATACCTAGACCTTTATTGCTCTAAAATGTTTTTCTAATCCCACCACTGTCATCAAAGTAATATATGACTTATAGACCTTAGAAAATAGAACTACTAATGTGTTTTTATGTACAGATTCAAGTGGAAACTCAAAAGGCAGCTCTTAAGTATGAAAGAGCCTGTAGCCAGCACCAAGCTGCCAAGCATATGGTTGGTAGAGCAGAACAAAAACTTGCATCAACATCAACAGAGCACAAGAGCCTTGATCCTGCTTGGCAGGATATGCTCAACAAGGCCATTAAAAAAGTAAGTGATTAGAAGATTTTCATTTGATGGTTGGATTGGAATTTTCTTTATTATCAGAAAGAGGGTATAAATGGGCCTTTAAGATGGACCTTTTATATAATTATATGCTTTTATTTCTGGCTAATGGTATTTTTTTACCATAAAGAGGATCAATATTGAATCAAGAAGACACTCAGGTTTTTATTAGTCTTACTCCCATCTATACTTCTATTTGGTGCAGACAGCAATCTTCACAATAACATTTCTTTTCCTTTAAAAGGCATTTTATGTACCAGGGCCAAAATGATTTTCAAATTTTCTTTTTTCTTTTATATGTGTATTTTCTCATGAGAATAGTAAGATAATTGGTGCTGATTGACTGAACAAAAGAAAGTGTTCAAGGGATTTTAGAAGGGGTAAAATAAACCTATGATACAAATGACCTGTATTATATGTTAAAGGAAGGAATGGCTTACAGTCTGGGTTTTAGGAAAAAACACTTCAAATATCATATTTTGTTTGAATTGTTGAGTGTTTTGAACATACTGTTACTGGTCTGTGTGCAGGGTGCACGTGTGGGAGTTATTCTTATTGCAATCCACTATTAGAAGTTATATCCTTAAGTAGGTTTGATCTGGAAGAAATATGCTATCTTCCACCCACGTAATACCATATTTCACAGGCAGGGTTAAAACTAATCAGAAGACTAGTTCACAAATAGTGGAAGGAGCTCTTTTGTTGTTCAAATTCCAGAAAATGGAGGGGGAGGGGACCTTTTTTTGGCTAATCCTTCCACCCACCCCCTCCCCCCCCAAATCCGAGTTGCTGGTGTCCAAAATATTTTTATGGCAGTTCTATTATTTCAATTGAGAAATTTCACTTCAATCTAAGGTCATGGATTCAGAGCTTAAAAAACAGAAAAGTGAACAAGAACACCTAGAAGTGGCACACAAACTAACCTTAGCTAATAAGACTGTTTCAAACCTTAAAACTAAACTCAAGTCAGCCATCAACAAATCAAAGTAAGTAAAAAGTAATTATTTTAAAGTTTCAAATTGCTGCAAAATGATAGTATATATTACTATATATGAATTAAAAAAGTAGATCTTAATCATGGGTGTGATAGATTCTGTTTAGTTTTACAAGTTTCTTTGTGTATATTCACAAAAACTATCCAGCTGTTGATGACAAGGGCATAGCTAGGGGGCTTGTCCTCCTTCTTGGCAACAAAATGGCAGCTTTTTAGATTTCATACAGTAATTTCCATTTTTTTTTTTTTTTTTTTTTTGTAAATAAAAATATTATGCTGGTTTATATATTTGTGTAAGAATAAAACGTAACATGTTTATTTTTTGGTTTGGCTTTTCGGGGGCGCAACAAAATGGCTGATTTTTTAATTTGACTACATCCCTTGATGAAGTTGGTATGACAGTCAGTAAAGAGACAAAAATAGCAATTCAGAAAAAATCTCCCCTCATTTTATTCACCTATTACAAGAAAGCCTTTTTCAGGTTGCGATTTTTGTGGCAATTTTCGGAAATATGAAATCTTTTGTCTCATCCTTCAAAGGAGACATTCATCTTGGAAAATCTTGGTATCCTGAAAAAAACTTTACAAGTAAATTTTTTACCATTATTTATTATGGACAAAATCGCAAAAAAATCGCAGCAAAAATCGCAAAAAAATCGCTAGTGTAAACGGGGCTTATCACGCTTCCTAGTGTCCTTGTATCTCAACACCTGCAATCTAGTGTTTTGGATTAGTGTTTATTAAAGGAATAACCGAAGACTAGTGACGGTCAATCGTAAATCAAGTTCTAGATACATTCACATAGAGTAGCATATGAGTTGCACTAGCTATGCCATGTCCAGGCATCAAGGACTGGATTTAACGACAGTTTGTTTAGCTGACCACCTCTTTTGACCACATGAATATAGACGCATTAAGTTTCACCGCATTTTAGAGATTGATTTAAGATATGTTAGCTTTCAATGTGTGTGTGTTGTTCATCTGTCTACCCACCAACCGTTTCTTTATTCATTCGCTTACCAGTTGTTTTTTTTTTTCTATCGTTCACTCATTCGTTCTATTTTGTACCTCAATCCGTTCGTTCGTTTTTATTCATCAGTTTGTTCATTGATTTGTTTTGTTAATTCTTTCATTCATATATTCTGCAATTTTATTCTCTCTAACATTTTCTCTTCCATCCATCCATCCATCCATCCTACCACCCCCTCTCCCACCCACCCATTCATCCACCCATCCATCCATTACATCATTCATTCCAAATTTAAAACGGCTTTTCTTTAGTCCTGTAATCTAATCGAGGTATGTTATTTGAATAGGATTTATTTCGATTTAAGAGACAAGTACATGGAAGTCCTTGAGGTAAGTGCTGCGGTTTCTTGTTCGCTATAGATTAATTAGCTTAATTAGAGAAAAAGGAAGCGCTAAACTAGTTAGAGACCATTTATTAGTGATTTCGACATATTTCAAAGAGATTTGTCAAGAGTTTTATCATAAAAACTGCCTCGCTGTTGGGAGCAGCTATATAGTGTGAGGGAGGTATGCTTTAAAACAAGGCAAAAAAATAAGGCGGTCATATTGCAATTATTAAAAAAAAATAACCAAAACTCTACCAAAATTGCATCTATTTAAATTTAGTAATCTAAACGTTGACAGAGTCCTACTAGAGACTACAAAAAGTTTGTTTTTTTGAATCTTAGGAACACAAGCAACATATAATTTCTTTGAAAAACCAACTAAGAGACTCAAAACAAAGTTACTCGAGCTCGTTGAGGAAGCTCGAAGGTATTAGTGATGAGATTCACGAAATGCGACGGAGTCAAAGTCAGTTGGAGATGTGTCTTTCTCCAAGGCAAGATGGCGTCGGGGCTGAGGATCCGCCATCGTCTACATCCGACAGTGCTTTTGAAGATTGTTCTGATATTAACGAAATGAAGCGAAAACTAGAAGCAATAGATGGGAGTATTGATGAGACGTTAGAGGAAGAAAAGGTTGAAACGACGCCTTCAGAGTAGTAAAAAAATAAGCAAATATCTAAAAAAAATCCTCTGTTGAAAAAATGTCAAAAATGCTCAAAGTATAAATTATAAAATAAGCATGGATATAGGAAAGTATATTATAAACGATGTAAGATATTTATTGTAAGCAAAGCGTTTACAACCTATGATAATATTTAAGATTGCCTTTAACAAGGTTCCTGAAACTGGTAGCTTTCAATATAATTGCAGACGTGAAATCGAGTTTTACCATCTGCAGCGTTGCACGCAACTAGCTGCATCGTATTAATACGACGTTCAACGTCGATAGTAATCTCCTGATTTTCTAAACCAACGATATTTTTACAATTATTTTGGTGTACCAAGGGCGGATCCAGGGGAGGGGTCTCAAGGGGTCCGGTCCCCCCCCCCCCTTACAAATCGTTTTCCCCTTTTTAACATACGATATATTGCAGAGAATCATTACAATATGATATCGTAAACATTTCCTATTGAAAGTCATGACTTTTATGTCTTTTATACCAGTAGCAACACGTGTATGTGCTAGGACTGGATAGTGTATGTATGCCGTCAAAAATGACGTCACTTATTGAGTGTAGGTTTTTGACCCCCCTCAAACAAATCCTGGATCCGCTCCCGTGTAAAGCTGATCAGATCATAGTTAATAGAGGGAAATGGTTAGGAAACCTATTGTTATATGTCTTTGTTCACTTTTGATGTTGAACCGGTCTTGACCATGCACAAGGTTTGATTTATGCTCATCCGACATTGCAAAATAAGTAAACATAAACTTTGTCTATGGGATTGTTGTTAGGAATATTCAAATATCTCTTATAAATCTTGAAGTATTTTGAACTAACAGCCAAAAGAAAGATTTTGGTCTGTTCACTCAGCCATTGCCAACAATGGTAAAACAAGGGATTGTACATGGTACGCTTGAAAAAAATCAACAAAGACCTATAACAATAGGTTTCATAACCATTCCCCTCTACTAACTATGATCAGATTTGGAAACTGTTTCTTGATTCATACAATACTCCATTTTACAGTCCAGCACGATATATTGAGGATCTCCTCAATAAAATGGTATACTCGATATAGTGCTGTAGATTCGATTAGAAACAAAAATTAAAGTAAGAATGTATGTGTATTGTTTGTTATTCTTACCAATAAACGCATTTGGTGATCCACGTATTTGTATCGTAAATAAAGTACCATTCGATTATAGCCTCGCGGTCAAATACACTGTAAACCTCTTTGCATTTACATGCTAAATGTCTCTAATATGTAAACCTCTATGTGACCCGAGACAATTTACCCCATGTTCACCACTAACCACTAGAAATGAAGCCGTCAATGGAATTCAATATGGCGGCTCTTCCAGCAACGACGTACTTAGCTATGACGCCTTGATAAATGTCGAAAGTTTGACGGAAAACGCCTGACGTCGAACTTCAGTTCAAGACGTAGCAAGAACGTGGTGCTAAAGGTCTCTAATACCTCAGGGATAGACGTCCCATCTTTACTTCATGGGCTTCGGAAGGGGTGGGGCAGGGAGGCTATAGACACCCCCACTTTTTCCTTCCTCATTACTAGTCTCTTATATTTTCAAATCTTTGCCCCCCCCCCCCCCCCCCCCCCCNCCCCCCCACGCACACACACACACTTTTTACCATACTAGTCTCAATCTTTGTCCCCAAATTTTTCAGGTTGCTCAGCGGCCCCTGAGCTATCAGTATCTACAATAAATAACGATGGACTACTCAATCTTTGTCATTCCTGGATTGGTATTTATTGTATATTGTAACCTCAATTAAACTTCAAAAACAATCGTTCGTGCATGAGAAGATTTAAAGACCCATTGTCACTTACCGTGATGCATCACAGTTTGTTTACATTTTGAATCGTATCACCACTGAAAAAACAATTCTAACCTTTTGAATAAACTCTTAAAAGAATGTAAAAGAATCATTTTTGTGCCTTAGTGCTATGTCGCAAAAGGATTTAATATGAAGTTATAATTCAATATGTGAATCTTTGAATTTCATGGACCACGAAATTCATCTGTGACCGCGGTGCATCACGGTAAGTGACAATGGGTCTTTAAAGTGATATAAAATATAACAAATATGAACAGATATAAGATATGAATTAAGTGTAAATTTTAGACTTGAATAATAATAGAGTTTTGCACGCTGTGATTGGTCGAGCGACCAGTGGTTGTGAGACGATAATCACTGGTCGAGCGGTGATCATGTGGTTTGCAGAAGTTTCTATAACTGACTGAAGTAATATTTAAAAACGTATTTAATTATTCCTGAATTTCGTGTTGTCTCCGATATTCGAGTCTTAAATCATGCTCAAACAATTATTCTCAGAAGACAAAGTGAAAATGGTAACTTGACCCACCTCTCGGTAAATACTCACCGTTAAAAATCAACCACACCCTAAATCCATTGTTTGATGTAGGTTCTTAAATTCGGCGAAAAACCCAGATTCTTAAAGCCGGCGGCGGAATTGATATCAACAGGGGAGAACGGGGCTGAATTATAAACCCGGGATAGGTTTTTAATAACATGGATATATCGTAAGCACTCTATTTCCAAAAGAACAAAGCAACAGTAATCTACCTCTGAATTCACTACAATTTAGTATTTCGTGTTTTGCATCGAAACAATGGAATTTAGGGCTTAGTTGATATTTTAAACCAGTTCAAACGCACGGGCTCGGTTTTGCATTAGAATTCAAGACCTCGGGCCTGCGGCCCTCTGTCTTGAATTCTAATACAAAACCTCGTCCTAGCGTTTGAACCTTTATATATTCACTTCACCTAAGTTGTTACGTCATAAAATCCAGGTCAGAATTGGATTTTCTGATGAACAAAACATAGCGGCGTATAACATTTCTTTTCAGTTCTTTCTTTCCTTCTCTCTTTTTCTTGCTTTCTTTTTTCCTTTTTTTGTTTTGTTTTGCTTTGTTTTGTTTTTGTTTTTTGTTTTATTCTATAGTTTCTCCAGTGTACATTTTTACATCATAGTACATAATTACTACTAAGGGGGAGAGACCTTATAACTTGTATGGGATGTTTACAACAAGTATTACTTGATTCTGGCATCATACAGTTGTTTATTGTTCTAATTGATCAATACTTTTTCGAAGACAGGTTGTAATCCATATCTTTATAACTGCCTTGTGAGTGGCTGTCCTTGCAAGACTAGCTTGATTTCTGTAGCATCTAAGGTTTCATACTTTAGTAAGGCTTCTGCTAGAAGTTTGTGTTCTTTTGATTTTGTTACGAGAATATTTTTTGCTCGTTCATATGCCTCCTGATGATAAAAGTAAGGTAGAAAAATAAAGACGTTAACATGCATTCATTCAGGACAAAGAACATAAACACTTATTTCAATAAAGTTAGTCACCAAAAACCTAGAAAGCTGAGATCACTGAGCATCATGGGAAACTTTTCATATCAAAAAAGCATATATATACAAAGCTTTTTTAATACAAACTTCAGCTCGATGATGCTCAGAAGAGGTGAGACTGTAACCGGTAAACGATTCGCAAGTCCATGAACAGTTATCAAGCGGTTGAACGTGTAAAATGAATCTACCCATAATCCTTGTCGGCCTCAGCTTTATAGCTTTTCAGGTGACTAACTTTATTGAAATAAGTGTATAAGAGTTATACACTTATTTCAATAAAGTTAGTCGCCTGAAAAGCTACAAAGCTGAGACCAACAAGGATTATGGGTAGTTACATTTTACATGTTTCAACCGCTTTAATAACTCTTGATGGATTTTAGATCTTTTACCAGTTACAGTCTCACCTCTTCTGAGCATCCTCAAGCTGCAAATTGTATCAAAAGCTTTACTTGTTTGATATTAAAAGTTTCCCATGATCCTCAGTGATCTCAGCTTTCTAGGTTTTTTGGTGACTAACTTTATTGAAATAAGAGTATAAAGGAGTAAAGGCATATTAGTAAGCATGGGTGGCGAAGCAGTGACTGTGCTCGCCTCTCCAATGCGACCTGGGATCGATACTCGGACTTGTCGTATATGAGCAGAGTTTCTAGTTCGTTCTCTCCTGTGCTTCGAGGGTTTTTCTCCGGTTTTCCTTCCTGCGCAAAATCAACTTCTAAATTCTAATTCGATCTAGAAGAGCCTAGATGAAAATTCCTCTGCGTCAAATTCTATTAATTCCTACCAAATTGTGTGCAGTTTTGGCGTAGTAAAGGGAGAAAGATGGAAGAACATTCCATAATGCACTCCTTTCCCTATCACAAAGATTAATCTGATCTTGGTCAGTACACACCTACGTATTTCAAAAAACGTCGTCATCGCCAAAGGCGTTAGGCGAAAAGCAGTAGGAGATAGGGTTATTCCAAGTTCCAAGAATAGCTGGAATGACTTGTGTTTCTGCTTCTTTTTCTCGTCAAGAACATGGACCTTGGTGTTGAGACTGATTCAATGTTCTTTGTATTCAAATAAACCATTTCCACGTGGGAATGACCTATCGCTTGTCCGCCTTTGACGATGACAAGGTTTATTGAAATGGCTGTATATATATACGCTAGCTAGACCTTAATACCCTTCCTTCGCTATTCCCCCGACAGGAATGGCCATGGCAAATAGCTTACCGACAATAATCTCTTGATTTCATTTTCGATTATCGCTTGGGTCTCTGGGCTTAAGTGGTCTGTGTCCTTGATTTGAAACATTCCAAGCTGGAGAAAAAATGATTTGTCAGGCTTTGATATAAGAACAGACTGTCACTTGAAGATATACTTCAAAAGTTAGAAAATATCACCAGTTATCATGTGAAAATTGATCATTAATGCTTTACTACTGAARATTTTCTTTTGCAATGATTCCTGAAAGCTGAATATTCTAATAGGGTCGTAAACAAAATAGAGCGGTTTTCATATGAGTGGGAAAGGATACGACAAATCCATGATTCGGCGCACTGTAGCCGTACGGTATCTTAACTACGCGTTGTGATTGGTTGAATTACTGAAAGACAATGGGAAGCCATTCCAATGTTACGGTATGTCGTACCATGTACTTAATACGTGCTGTGAGGCGGTACCGTACGTTTCCCACTCATTAAAAAACCACTGTTAAACGGAACATGACATATTTTTGCTTACCTTATCACTCATACAGTAGTTAGTGACCATTGCTTTTGCTATAGCTGTGGCTTGCTGTGAGTCACTCGACGCTCCTAGGAACAAATATTTATACGATTCAAGCCAACTTAATTGATGGTTTTCACGGCGGCCATGTTGGAGGACCTTAACAAAAGAATTGTCAATGAATTATTTTGTTATATACTTCAACATGGCCGCCGTGTCTTTTGTTATTTATTTCTCTTGGGATTGGTTGAAAACCATCAATAGCCCAGGAGAAAAGCCTTTGTATGTCTACTTTGTCTTCACAAAGGAAAATCGCTAGAAGCGCACATAAATTGAAGTTACTAACTAGCCATTTTGCACATTACGCACATACAGAAATAAATGAAGGAAAAAACAAGGAATCACAAACGAAAACACCGTGGAAGCATTAGGTACCTGTTGTAACATGATCTTTACCAAAGATAATCTCTTCAGCCACACGCCCTGCCATACACACATCCAGCTTGGCTAACAGCTGTTTCTTGGTCCATTGGAGGTCATCTGTTTCTGGGATCTGTGCAACCATTCCCAAGGCCTGTCCACGAGGCATGATGGTGGCTTTGTGAAGAGGAAGAGAACCTGCAAACATTCAAGATTTATACAAGACTGGTTGACCTAGGGTAGCAGCCACGGGAATTAATGGTAGCATAGCGGTAGTACTCTCACCTCTAGTCCTTGGGGTCTAGGGATCGCTTCGATTTTTTTTTTTTTTAGTTGATGTATTCATTAGTTTTATGATGTATAGATAGGAAGATAGGAAGATAGGTGTCCTCTATTAGATCACAATTTATTGTAAACTTGAAAATTTGGACACGTAAATAAACTCTACTCGCATTTAATAGCGAGTCCAGGAAATACTAAACAACTTTTCCAATATCTCTACAGTGCGACTTCATTATAACCAAAACAAATTTAAAACGAATTCACAAATGACGTTTTTGACGATGAATAACAGGATGGTGACAACTTCTGGATTTTAAACCGTTTCTAGTTCACTCCTGATCATACACACACAAGTACAAAATAAAATACATACTTTTCAAAGAATATATATATAATTTGTGCAGATTATATGTCTAAATACTCAACCATGATTGGATAAAATGTAATTTGAAAATTTGTCTGTGTGGACTTGGTTGGTATGGTCGCACTGTAAAGACCTGTCGTTACTCACCAGGGGTGTAGTAAGCAACCAGAGCGTGACCCCCCTCATGGTATGCCACTATTTTCTTGTTTTCTGCATTGATTACGGCACTCTTGCGTTCTGGACCTAACACACCAGGAACACATAGTTAGTGGAGTCCAGATAAAAAGAAAGATACTATTTTCATTGGTAGGTATTCTTACCCATGATGATCTTATCTTTAGCAAACTCCAGGTGTTTGGTTGATACATAAGGGTCCCCACTTGTGGCTGCTTTGACTGCTGCTTGATTGACTAGGTTAGCAAGATCAGCACCTAAACATTCCAATAACAGTTTAACACATACTTCATCAATCATATACTCATTCTTAGATTTTAACACATAGCTTGCTCTAATTAATGTTGTCATCATTGATAAGTAAAGGATCAAACACTAGGGCGAAGGCATTCTTAAAAATAAAGGTCGAGGCCAAGGCCAGAATAACCAGCCCCAATCTGTGATTTAGGAACAATGGATTTGGATTTCAAATTGATTTGATATGAATGTCCACGCGACAGGTCTATCTTTTTGAAACTTAGACCTGTACCAGAACATCATTGAGGATAATAACCACATTACACAATGGGATTGGGGTGTGGCTGGTTATTAATGTCGGTGTGATTCTTCTTTGAGCTTCTTTGTCGTGCCTTTGTGGTTGTCGTAACCATACTGATCGTTATTAACTTTTATCGTTGTTATTAATATTGTAGTTTTTGTTAATTCGTAACTATAAGTATGAACCAACCTGAAAAACCTGATGTACCCCTGGCTAGCACTTCTATATCAACGTCTACAAAAATGAAATAAAATATATAAAAAAAGGTATTTAACAGTTGGCATTTCCTCAGAGTGGCTCTTCTTCCACTGGATTCCAATTGGAATTTCACAGTTTTACTTTTGCAGAGGGAAGAAAACCAGAGAACCCAGGAAAACCCCTCAACGCACAGGAGAGAACCATGACACTGAGTGCGAGAATCAAACCCAGCTCGCCTTGTTGAGAGAAGAGCGCTCTCACCACTATGAACCCCTCAAAGCACAGGAGAGAACCAACAAGTAACTCTACTCATGACACTGAGTCTGAGAATCAAACCCAGGTCACCTTGTTGAGAGAAGAGCACTCTCGCCGCTATGCACCTGTGCTTCCTAGAAACCTGAATAATTAATTGATTAATTAAAATAACAGGTTTAAGAACAGGATGTAAGCAGTAGACTTACCATCAGCTACAGTGACATTCTTGAGGTGAACCTTCAGTATATGGAAACGTGCCTTGATGTCTGGCATTGGTACCGAGATTTTGGTATCAAACCGACCAGGTCTGATTAGCGCCCTAAGGTAAATAAACATACAAAAAAAGGAAAATAATTAGAAAGAGATTATAAAAAACCTTTATTGTTTCGATTCCAAGCAAGAAACAACAAAGAAATACTAATACATGACAAAGAAATGACTTAAATAAATAGTTTTCAGTATAATTGTACTTACTTGTCCAAGATTTCTGGGAAGTTTGTTGCTCCTATTACAACAATTCCTTCAGACTTGTCAAAACTGGGGGGGGGGAAATTAATCAAAAAGTAATCGGAGTACATCACATATAATTTATGTGGAAAACGAAAATATTACAGAACCTTTCATAAAGTGATGTTACAAAATCTTTCGTAAACCTTTCGTAAATGATGCCTGATGGCATCGAAACGTCAAGAATATTGGAGGAAACTTGTCGGCAGAAATTTTATAGTTAAAACTTTGGTAAAGTACACACTGTATGATTTATTTACATATTATGTAATATATACAGTATAAGTTGCCGTGTCCATCCAGGCATGTCGTATACAATATATAAACTTGAGGAGTAACCATAATTGTATTACAACATGGACACAATATTGTATATTGTTTAACAAAGGCCTAGGTTAGTTCCTTTGTGTTTCACTAAAATTTTCAAGATAAAAGTGAATCTGGCCAAGAAAATCCAAGTTAAAGTTTATATGATTTTGTATCAGAATTATAAAACTCTTCATGGTCATGATTTTTATCGTGTTTTCCTCATAAATTATTAATGAGTTAAATATCTATATATTATGCTTTATATATGGCTCCATCTACTCCTACATATACTCCTGTATATGTGCATGACTCCATTGAAATCTCCTTCCATTAATGCATGTATATAATCAATGTAAGTGTGTTATACATGCAATAGACTCACCCATCAAGCTCAACCAGCAGTTGGTTAAGTGTCATCCTTGAGTAAGGCTGGTGATCATTAACAATACGAGTTCCACCAATCGCATCCAGCTCATCTACAAACACTATGCAAGGTGCATGCTCCCTTGCGGCAGCTGTAATGAAAAAGCAATGACAATAGGGTCTATTATGCATATAATAAATAACCCACAATAGCACAGATGACTCTAGGAGCTATGGGTATATTGTGGGTATATTGTGGGTATATTGTGCGGTATATTGTGTGGTATAGTGTGTGGTATAGTGTGTGGTATATTGTGCGGTATATTGTGTGGTATATTGTGTGGTATATTGTGTGGTATATTGCATGGTATACATGTATTGCATGGTATACATGTCTTGTGTGGTATATTGTGGTATATTATGGGTAGTGTGGGTCTGTGGGTATACTGTGTCTTACCAAAGAGGTTTCTGACTCTTGCTGCTCCAACGCCAACAAACATCTCATCAAACTCAGATCCAGAACAAAAGAAGAAAGGCACACCAGCTTCTCCAGCTACTGCCTTGGCCAGTAGAGTCTTGCCTGTACCAGGTGAGCCAATCAGTAAGACACCTTAAGACACCAGACAAGAAAATAAAGACATTACCATCTTTTATAATGTATGGCAAACTTTCATGGATATTCAACAATGTTGGGGTGTAGATGAAATTACTAATGATTTTGATTTTGAAATTTTGATTACACAAAAGGATTTTTTACCTACAGCTGTATAGAATTTTCAACCAACACTTTGGTTTTCTTTACTTACTCTTCTCTGATCTTCCCATTTCTTTTCTTTTCTCTCTCATCTCTTCTGTTCTCTTTCATTTTCTTCCCTTTCTCCCTTCTCTTTCCTTTCATTACATTACATTGCATTTCTCCTTTGTTGAAGCATCAATGTTCACACTTACCAGTAGGCAGCTTGCCACCAAGCCTCTTAAACTTATCAGGATTGCGAAGAAAATCCACAACTTCTTGGAGTTCCTCTTTGGCTTCATCAACCTTCAATAAAAAAGAACCAATGAAACAGATGGACACAAATGTGTTTGACTGTAAGAGGCATTTAGGAGAAAAACTTATTATCTTGTAATCGCTAATCACCACAACAAGTACAGTTGTACAGAATGTGCAGGCACAGAGCTCTCAAAGGGGTCAAACTGAAAGCAATGTACTACTTACCCCTTGAACATCATTAAATCTGAACTTCCTATCCACATTATCAGGAGTTATCTCCTTCTGATTGGTTGTCACTGTGAATTTAATGCAAGTCACTAGTTAGTTAAATGTTTTGTTTCATGTTGTTGTATGAGGGGCTCAAAGGTGGCAATCTGCATTCTGTAACATGAAGCTACTACATTAAGTGCATCACAAACTTTCCCCACCTCCTCTATGGGATGCTAGTCTATCAAAGTTTTACTCCAAGGTATATATTTTATTTTGGTGAAGAGATCTACACTGTTAAAGCTTTTTGTTCTCTTATTTTCTCTCTTATTTTCTCATTCTGTAACATGCAGCAACTGTAAGTAAGAGCATCACATACTTTCCCCACCTCCTCTATGGGATGCTACTGTAGTATCTCAAAGTTTTACCCCAAGGTATATTTTTTCCTTTTGTTGGAGAGATCTACGATGTTAAAGCTTTTTGTTCTCTTATTTTCTCTCTTATTTTTTCTCTCATTTTGCTCTCTTGTTTATTGTTAATAACAATAAACACTCTGACTCCTGAAACTCTCAAGAACACAATACAAATGCCACCAATTCTCAGGCTCTAAGGTTTAACTCTGCTGCCCTGATTACTCACTCTGTCTTCATGGTATTTTGAATCTCTAAGACTAATAGCATTTACTCACTTTTCATCTGAAGTTGTGCTTCAATGACAGAGAGAATCAAAAATAAAGCAATCAAGAATCGAATGGTATTCCACATCTGCTCCTTGAAGAATGCACCTGGTGATAATCCACAGAAAAAATATTTATCAATAAATGTAGGGGATTATACTTTGCTGCACACCCATGCATTAAGAATATTCAATCAGGGGATACATGTACAGTGAGTGGCTGAAATGTTTTGTAGCTGCATTACCCCTAGCCCTTATGCTCTGTATCCAAACATAGCTCACAAAGTGATGTTAAAATGTGAGGATGAATGTCTTACAGAGAATGATAAGTCATAACATACCTTTCTGACTCTGTACTACAACATGTAGTGGAGTATCTTCAGAGCCATCATATCTGCTATCTTTGGCCTTTCTGGTTGGTTCTGCAGCATAGGACGTCCCCTTCGGATAACCATAATGACCTGTCCTGGAAACCTACAATGCATTGAAACCTCAAAAATCAATAAACTATAAACAGAAAGGAAGCAAGAGAATGGCTGCAGACTTTGACTTTGTTTTCAGTGCTGTTTTTAGATTTTAAGATTACCTTCTCCAGGTCATCGGAGTCAATTTTTTCAGCAAGAACCAAGGCCTAAAAAAAATAGTTAGAACTTTTTCATTAATTTATAACTTTTTTATATATAAATTAATCATATTACACTAAGAAGACCTTGAACTTGAAAGCTAACTTTCAATAGAAATTGAGCCACGACCAAGGCATTTTAACTTTTTAGTACTAAAGTACTGAAGAATAATTCAATTATTGATGCTGTGCATAAATGTACAGCTGTTGCTTGAAACCTGGGTCTTTGAAAAGACCCTTTTACTGGACCTTTTTACTTTTGGCGTAATGCTAGTACATGGAAAGTAAAATGTACCTTGAGGTATTCTCTCTTCACAGACTCGTCAATAGCGTAACGTCCACTTTCATATCTTCTGATGACATACTGAGGGTCTTCTGTTACCATGGCCTTAAGTAAAGTGCAAATTTATTTAACAACAATAATAATTAATGTTCATTGGAGCAAATGATAATGATTTAAAATATAAGTCTTTACTTGATATAAAACAGAATCACAGGACTTAGAAAATTTTTTTGCCAAGTCAGTAACCAGTCATGATGGCTAGCCAAATAAGTCTTRRCTTGGTCATACTTTGTTTCTGGCTTGACGTTACTGGTCAAAATGACCGATAAGACAAAGATTTGACCGCACAAGTTCCAATTGTGGCAAGACATTATCCGATGGTCAGCCATATTTTAAGCTCTGGAATCAAAATTATTTATTTCATTTATTTATTCTATTCTTTTTATATATTTATTTTAATTATGTCCCAGTCATGTTATTAAAGAAATGGTCAAAACTAATTATGGACAAAAACTGAGTTTAACACAAGTTTTGATTGTAGAACTTTAGAATTTGATTGAATTTCTTACTCTCAAATAATCTGCTTGTGCTTTTGGGTTATCCTCTTCATAATTTGCTCTTTCTTCAAGTATCTGAATTCTACTACTCATTCCATGTTGTACAAATCTCTTCTGATTCACTGAAAGATGAGAATCCAGGAATATGAACATTACCATTCCAAGCCTGCAAATAATGCTTTTCTATAAGGTTGTCATACCCCAAATCAGGGGCAAGGACAAAAGCTTCTTTCAAATACTGCAACCAAGAAAAAATATAATGTGCCTGCGGCAATTCTTTCAGGTGAAACAGCTGAAATAACATAGCAGCTGCTATGTGTTGCACTAGATCTGTCCTTTCCACTGATTGGATTCACTTTTCACCCTTATTTCTGACCCGGGCATATACTTTAAAGTTCTGCTTCTGGTTTTGCAATTTTTTTCATAGTTTTTTATATTCCCAATCTTAACAGAAGAGTCCAGTCACGTGTGTGTTCAGACTGAACATTCACCAATCAAAACCACTAGTTTAATGGACAAATGTCTGGCATTAATTTGCAGGCTCGCAATGCCAATTATGTTGCTGAAGGACTCAAGTTGGCATTGCAATATATTGTGTTGCTGTTTGATCCACACTTCTCAATATGTTCATATATATATATATATATATATACATACCATTTATTGATCTATTTGGCTGAAGTAATCTGGACAATGATGTAAAATATGGATTATAATGAGTATCTCTTGGCTTGATCAGTTTGGTCCCATCTTCAGAAAAACCTAAAAAAAAGAAAAATTTTAGTATTTTCCAACACAAAAATGAAAGTAAAAAATCCACATTTATTCTCTGACATACTTACCATGTTTGTTTTCAAAAAAGCTGTTTGCAGAGACATGAGACACAAGCCATGGTCGGCAATCTGATTGCGCTGGAATTGACAGGGGAGTAATTATTTGTTTTTGCCAGTCCTTTGGTAGACCTCTAAGACCCAAGTCATCAAGAATTCTATTACAGGACCTCTGATATCATGAAAAACACAAACACAAAACATATAATTATTATAGGTAAAGGACAACCCACATCATTTAACAACATTAAAACATACATCCTACATAGAGTAAAAGAATATGATTGAATCCACTACACACATGGGAAAGATAACTCTTATCTCACATTTCCATTTTACCTTCGTTTTTTAAGAAGTGGGGATAGAATCAGTCAGGAGGTTAAGTTTCAGCCAATTAAGAAGCCTGAAGAAAAAGGTAGTGTAACGTATAGTATAACGATAGTGGATTCCTCCATCCCTTCCCCACCGCCCACCTCCCAAATGACTGCTCCTTTAGTACCCAGAGCCCACGTTCCTCATGGTCAGCACAAAGAAACGAGAGGCTCTGGTTGTAACTGATTTTCAGTTGGCTTCCGGTCCATGAATTTCGGACCGGAAGTTTCAACTGCTCATGCCTTAATCACAGGTAAGCTGATGTTTGGGTTACCTTTGATCTTCAGGGATTCAAATTGTTTCGAACAAACAGTAATCAATTTTTGACCATTTTAGCTTGAATATAGTAGTTAAATTATTTATCCTTTGCCTTCTTATAGTTTATTTAGTAAATATTTCCCCCGGGTACTAATTGCTTGTGCTGTTTTGCGAGTTTTTAACGCTGTTTTTTTGAGTTCAAATCATCACGACAAATACAAGAGCAATCGGCCGCCAACTCGACTCGCACTAATCCTCGTGAAAATTTGCTTAAATTCCAGTCTCTATTGATTATCGTACCACATTCTAGCAAATTTTGAGTTCGATCCAAGCCAATTTAGTTCTTGAAAAATCCACTTATTTCCTGATATTTTTGAGTCTGTTAGCCATTTTATTTCCAGAACGACTCTTTCTATTGTTTTCCCCCGGACCAATAGGAATGCTCAAAAAATCGGTTACAACCAGAACCTCTCGTTTCTCGGTACTGACAAGGAGGAATGTGGGCACTGGGTACGAGATTGTGCTCCTAGACAATAACTACTTATAATTATATGAAATATTTGTATTAACATATTCCATACTGTAAATAGACCCCTTGCAGCACGTCTGAATGCAGCTCAATTTGGAGGACATAACAATAGGTTTCCAATTCTCAGGATTTTAAAATTTTATTGTTTTATCCTCCAAACTGAGCTCCTTTGACATCACATGCAAGGGGTCTATTGGGTAATACAATATATGTGTAATTGGTGGTACTATTTACCTCTAACTCAGCAATAATGGGTGATTCTGGCTGAGTTTCTTGTTTTTGTGTTGTTGATGTCGTAGTTGTTGTTGTTAAGTCTTTAGATAGAGATTTCCAGCTTTTCTTTTGAAGATACGTCATACATCTTGCTGAGGCAGCATGTTTGGCATTGCCTAATAATGATGCTGCACCGGACAGTAACCCTCCAACCTTGATAAACCAATTTTTTWAAATGAAGAAAGAAATAAGGAAATAAAAGAAGGAAGGAATTTGAGAATTACTCTTATCGTAAAAAGCTATTTTCATGATGGCATAATTTCACTACCACTACCAATATGCTTCATATATTTTCTTAATTAAATTGTATTTCCTTGCAAGAAGGAAGTAAGACAATAGGTGCTAATGAACTCAACAAAAGAAAGTTTGCGAAGGATCCTGTTAGTGGTAGTGAATGACACTATAATACAAATAGCCTGTTAAATGTAAAAAATCTATGACTCATTCTTTTTTCAGAGGCTTAAATAGTTGCATGTTTTTCTTTTGCTTCTCTCGTATGATCTTGAAAGCTAAAGAATATTTTAGACTCGAAGCAAAACCGTAATGCCAGGTAATGGAACTGAATAGGTACCATATCCAAATGCATTGCATAACAATGGTGATGTTAAAAAATTCAGTTATTCGTATTTTTCAAACTATATAAGAAGAAAAAAAAGCTTAAGGTTTTATTGTGTATTTTTTTTACAACAAAACCATCATTCTGGTTGTTATTTAAAAAAATTTCTACGTTTACATTGCTCGTCATGGATGACCTTATTTTCTCTTGCAGTCTGTACGTCATCAAGCATTCAAAGTTGTGATTTTGAAGTTGATCAATGCTGCTTTAATAAATAATTACTTCATAAGAACACAAAACCAGAGGAATTAACAAATGTGTTATCATTATCACAAGGAAAATATAGGCTGAGAGAAAAAGGTTTTAAAGATCGCGTGTCGCAAGAGTTTACTTCATGGCAGCCATCTTGTCTCTCTACCTCGAAAATACACAATAAAACACTTTAGAGTACACAAAACCTTACCTGTGGAGACACTCCGCTGGACGAAAACATTGGGAAACTAATGAAGGTAGCTTTAGAAGATCTTATGAATGATTTTCTGATAGAAATTTAGATGATAAGTTGAATAAAATGCTAACAATTTTCATTGCATCATGGAAATAAAAAACACAGGGAGCCCATCAAAAGAAATAGAATTACCACAGGGAACCCAGAAGAGTTCTTACTGGTGAGGGAAAAAATCCTTAAAACGGGCTAAATTCAAAAAATAACCACACAGAGCGAAAGAAGTGCTTTATTTCTCAATGATCAAGTAAAATTTCGAGGCTTTATTTTACGTTTCAATGATTTCATTGAAATTTTTGAAGAATCACCATACATTCCCTCATAACATGACACCACAGAAACCAAACTTGGGCTTCCTGTGTTCAAACTCATGTTTTTGTGCGACATCCGGTTAAGAAAATCAGGGAATTCGATTGGAAGATTGTCTCGTGTCGCACACAACTTGAGGTACGAGATTGGCCAGCCAGCGCCCAACGGTACACACACTCTCACGCATGCAATCATGAAAATTGATAAGGGTGGTAGAAAAAGATCTACACGGCTCTAAATTAAAAGCTGTCATGATGAAATCATCAAAATAGATATGATTTTGGGAGGCGCGGGTGGCGTAGCGGTGTAAGCGCTCGCCTCTCATCTATGCGACCCGAGCTCGAGCAGCAGTAAGGGGGACACGCGAAGCGCCGGCATTTGAAAAAATGACATATCGAAAAACCCCAGCCCCCCCTGGGGTTTCGGAGGTAGGTTAAAGGCCCTACAGGGGGTCTTGCGCGATCCGTCGGC